AGTCGATTCTCAATCCTCCTTCCCATTCGACCACTTTACATCCAAATTCGACATCAATTCCTAACTTCCTAGTTAACAACCTTCACTTACAAAATCTTCAATGATGAAATCGAGAGTACTTGCGAGTTCCTCTCAACAACGAAAATTGCAAGACCATTGAAACCTTCGATCCAACTGTGAGTCTGATGTGAGAACAAAATAACTTGCGAGAATCTGATTGCTTGACAGACCCAGTTGACATATCTAGTCAACTTTTGAACAAATTATGAAACCCTTCATCACTTTCATTCTCATAAAACAATCAACAACAATCATTGTTTCGACTGTAAAATTTCATCACTGTGAAAACAAAACCTTTAAATTGCGAATCGATTTCTTCGTTCATTAGCCATCAAATTTTGACCAAGTTGAAAATTTTGACCAGTAACTACTTGTGTGACCATAATACCAAATTACAAACTACAAACCGATCTTCACTATCCAATTCTTCGACTAGTGATGCCCAAAATCAAATTCTTCCTCCCTATAGAGTTAGACATTCGACCCTAAGCACCATCAAAATTTCATTCAACCGTTAATCCTTTGATGTCGAACTAAACCACCATCGAAGTGGGTTGATACAAATTGTGATTACAAAACCGAGCAAGTACGTGTCTACATTCCGATAATCATTCCAGATGCAAGATCAACAAAGCAAATTTGTGAGTTCATCGCATTAACAATCATCGATCCGTCTGTGAAACTTCGTCACTGCAAGATTTCATTCCGATTCATCTTCCTCTTCGTTTCCAGATAAACAAGAACTCGAACTTTGACTTTTCTTGTTTGACTCTAAATACAGATATCGAGAAACACCAAGTCGATTTCCTCTAAATTGTTTTATAAATCAAAAATACCGATTCAACAATAATCATTCGGTTCTTCAGCTGTGTTACTGACCTAAAATCATTGTTACAATAATCATTCAACAATAATCATTCGGTTCTTCACCTGTGTTACTGGCCTAAAATCATTGTTACAATGATTTTAGTGAAATACCAAAAACTTTACCTTCTTATATCTATTTTCTTTTACACATCACAAACAAATCACTACTGTCACACCCCAAAACCGGAACGGCGGAAACGTTCTGGGGTGGAGGACGTCATGTACAGTATCATAACAATGCATAATAGTAAAGACAAGCAAAAACATCCATTGCATTAATATAATAATTTTAATACAAGCGTGTTCTGTATAGTTTGTAAGACACAAAAAGAATGATCAAAATAAAAGATGAGTCTTGTATGTGCTCCATCTTCTCAAAAGCTTCGTCGGTACCTGTCTACTAATGACCTGAGAATACAAGTTATTTTGAAAGAGTTTATCAGCATAACGCTGGTGAGTTCATAAGTTTTTAGTGTCCTTGCTTGTATGAAAATATATGTAACAACGTAGTGCAAATGTTAGTAACTGATTTCAAATGTTTGTAAATAGTTATACTCCCTAGAAAATCCTATATTTTCTAGTGAAATGTAGTCTTCTACCAAGACCGGACTGTTTGTATGTTTGTTCTTTTGTAAATGTAAGAGTTCTCCCCAGTGAAACTATCCTTATGAAAATATAGTTTAAGACCTCACTTATGCGAGATGATTTCAAAATAATTGTAATAGTGGAAAATAATGTTTAACCTAAGCAGTATCACTGCTGGGCTAATAGTGATGAAAATGCAGACTCCAGGTAGTATTAAATGTACAATACACCTCGGGGAGTCTGTTTGGCCTTTAATTCTTAATTGGTTAATTAAAGGTTTGAATGTGAACTCGTATGTAACCATGCTGATCGACGGCTGAATAACTGGTGACCCTCCAGTGTCATATGTAGTGAGGTAACATTCTGTCACCGCTTAGCCTTATCGGCTGGGACTGTAGCTAGCAGTCGGGATGTGGGAGTGTCTGTCCCATATAGATCTATACACACAATGCCCGCTCTCCCTCCAGGAGACTCTGGTTACAAGGTGATACAACAATGCAGTGTCGTATCGAGAAGTAGTATGTCACATTCTGTTTATAGTATTCAAAAGTTTGTATAGTATGTCATAATGTAGTGATGTTTTATCTTTACTAGTATATAGCATATTCCCTTGTATAGTGTATAGTATGTTCTCTTGTATAGTGTATAGTATGTTCTCTTGTATAGTGTATAGTGTGTTCTCTTGTATAGTGTATAGTATGTATTGTTTCTCAATGTAGTACTTATGTAGTGATTCGTAAATGTACTGACTCTTGTATGTATCGTTGTGATAGTAATAGTGAGTAGTAATATCTTAACTATACCTATTATAGTTAAATAGTAATGTTGTCGGTATGCCTTCGTTACACAAAGGTACTGAACTGAAGTGAAAGCCTTTATATCCAACACACATATATATATGATATATAACTAAGATTTCAACGACATTCGGACAAATAACAGGATACCCTAAGTCCACAACCAAACAAGGAACATGAAATAAGGTGAGCTATCAGTCCTAAGTCCTTCAAGTCTTACTTATTTAACTATATTGGTGTAGATATGAGTTTGAAAATAATGCAAGTTTAAAAGAGTTTGGAAACAGTTTTAGCATTTAAAGAGTTTAATAAAAGGTTTTGAAGTGCTTGAAATCCATAAGTTTCATAGTAATTTAAAAGTAATAGAAATCTCTCTGTTTGTTCTAGACATTAATCACATGTGATTAAAGCAATAACTAGAATATTTCAACTTGTATTCCCCCCCCCCCATAAAAGCATTTAAAATCATTTCAAAGGTTGATTAAGGGGTATGAACTCACCTGAAATGAGTGATGCGAATGTAAGATCGGAAAAAGGATGCTAAGTGTCTGGTTACCAAATGGGGCTTTTGGTCTAAGTCGTATGTTCCTAGGAGCTTTCGGTCCTAATGGTATTTTCGGTCCAAATGGTTCTCGGTTCAAATGGTTCTCAGTTTTTAGGGTTTTCGGTCCATGAGGTTAAGACCAAAAGCTCATGATATTTGGTGCATAAGGTGATTTTCAAGGGCTTTCAAGTATGTATAAGGGTTCTAAGTTTCATCCAAAGCCTTATGTGAGTTTAAGGTCTTAAAGGCACCTTTCTTTAGGGTTTTCGGTCGAGGGAGATGCACTTGACCGAAAACACCTATTGTTCTTGAGAAATGAATGTTTTCACGGCCCTAAATCAAGTATCCTTTCTAGATAACAAGTATAGGAGATAGATACTTACAATATGGAAGCAAAGAAGGGTGTTTTCGGCCCAAAACACTAGTGTGTGTTCTTGGTGTTTTGAAGAACACTTGAAGATCTATGAAAAAGAGAAGATTTCATGCATAATATCGTGTATAACTACTAGATGAAGTGTTGTATCAACAAATCAAGAGAAGAAACACTTACATTTTTGGAAGATTTGTAAGAAGCTCTTATGATACTTGAGAGAGAATGTGGGTGTTCTTGAGTTTGGAAGTAAGAAATGAGGAAGGAAGGAGTAAAATCATGCCTTAAGCATGAGTTCTCAGTCAAAGAGGGGTTTACGGCCCAAACCCCTCATGTTTGGTCGTAAACACCTCATTAAGGTGTTATTTGTTTTATTTGTTCCCCAATAATCCTAGAAAATACTTCCTTTCGTTTGTTCTCTCAAAGAATTAATATTAAAAACACCGAAACAGACTTTAACCGAGCTAAAAATTAGCAGAAATGAATTTGACTTTTAATTGAAGTGTTTGACTGCAGAGTTCGTACAAATGAAAATTTCGGGTTGTCACAACTACAACCCTTGATATTTCATGTTTATACCAACTTGCAGTTATTGTTTTCAAAACTCTGTGTTTATGATTCCAGTCACTGTTAACATGGTTATGTTGAAACACCAACATCCTTACCTTGTTCTGGTTACAAAAGTGGTTCTTATTCCGATGGTGATTGTCATTCCAATGATGAAATATTAATCATAGCACCGAAGATGATTGTTGTTATTACGAAACTGGTGGAGGACAAATGTCGAGTTTTTTTTTTATTATAATGGTGCTTAGTTGGCTTGATCTTATCGGTTCGATTTGTTTGTGATGATGAGCATGGGTAAGAAAAATAGCATCGTTGTTGTGATTGGATGGGAATTTGATGTTGGAATTGGCGGTTTCTCTTTTCAGTTATTTTAGGGCTTTTCAAATTCAAATTTTAACCGTTAGCATCCCATATCCATATAAATACCTTTTAATTTACCCGTTTACCTCGTTACGCTCTCAAATTACCTTCAAGCAATTACCCATCAATTCCTTTGAATCTTCAACTATGTTCTTCATGTCCATCTACAAATTTTCATCCATAGTTGTTGCTACTAAGAATGTCTCATTCGTGGATCAATCAGCATCATCATTTTCACTCTCAATCAAGCAAAATCAGAATCTAGTTGCTGATCTCGATTCATCAAAGTACCCTACAACTATTCAACCATTTATCGAATGCCTTAATGCATCGATATTGAAGAAGTCTTTGACGCACTTTTAAGAAGTTCCTTTATTTTTGTTGATTCTAGCATAGTCAATTGCAAGTTATAACAAATCAAGGAATACTATAAATTTTTGAGATTCAAGGGCACACAACAGCAATTTCTCAATTAAGTTTCTGAAAACTTTTGGGATTACCTAATAGGGATTATTTTTACCATCCTAATCTTCTTTCATCTGCAAATATGTTGAAAGTGCTTCATCATATGGGATACATACCTTTTATGTCTCAATTATCGAAGTTCAAGAAGACATGCTTGCCAATAATGTGGAATACGATGTTCACTATTTTCTTCAAAGTTTTCTCTGAAAGAACTATGGGTTCTAACAATTCTAGCAAGATACTTCTTTCTCTGACGTATGGGATTTACAACAATGAAAAAATTAACTTAGGTCAATTTTATGGGCATAACATTGTGCTAGTCCTTTTTCTTCAACAACGGATGTTGAAATCTCATGTGCTCGATTCTGGTCAATTTTCATAAAGAATGCAGAGAACATTACAAGTGCCCTCAGTGAAGGATGTGAAGATGGCTGAAATTCAAAAGCTTAATGTTGTGAAACTTGTGGTTCCAGTTGATACTAACTTTTCATACGTTGGTCCAATTCTCAAAGTGATGCTTGATAAAGTGCCTTCAGCTAATGGATTTATTGCAATTTACAAGAAAATCCCGAAGATTGGTTCATGGCATGTTTCTGTTGATTTACAAGAAATTTTTTATGTTAATGTTGTCACAAGAAAAACCGGTGCTTGTGGTAAAAGAAAGGTGAAAGTAGATGAAGAGGTTAACGTTCCGAAGACCAAGAAGGAAAGGAAGATTAAGATTAAAGTGAAGCCTTCAATTATTGATGAGGATGAGATGTAGATGAGGAAGGGGATGAAACCACGATCAGTGATGTTATAGGGGAAATTGATGTTCACTGTTAAGATGATACTGTGAAATCTTCATATATACCAAGGACGACTGCAACTATGAAGGTACCTAAGATTCCAAAGGTATTTTTTGTTACAACATCTACCACTTATTTTATCCCTACCCAAACTCAGGAAGATAATTTTTGATTTGTTACTTGCTCATCCGATTCTTAATCTCTCATAATCACCCAATATTCTTCCTACTACTCAACCAATTAGTGTATCATTACCACAAATAACTCTTATCATAACCCCATATACTACACCCATGCCACCACTACAACCACTTCAGTTATCATTACTCTAATAGTTGATCCTTTGGTTGATAAGTCAGATATTCAATTTCAGAATGATGGTAGTGGGTTTGTAGCAAATGCATCTCTTGATGGTGATGATAACATGAATACTACCTTTGACGATACTTATTTTGAAAATTTTACTGATCCTATCTGGGCTCCTTTGCTTTTAGATGATGAAAGTGAATCAGATAATGAGACTGAGTCATTTCCAACAACGAGGAAGGGTTATAGAGCATTAAATAGGAAGGTGAATATGCTTATGCGTCATGGATAATCTTCTTTTTCTAATTCTTTCACAACAATGATTTCTATTCATGAAGCAACTATCAAGAGTTTCGTAGAATGAAAGATTGGTTTCAGAAAAAAAAATGGTTTTGCAGCATGCTCAAAAGATGAAATCTTCTCTTACGGAAATCAAGGAGCTTCGTAGGCTCATCTTGAATGATAATAATGTCCATAATTCAACAATTGAAAATTCGCTTCAAATTGTGGTTCAAAATTTCGAATCTGAAACTGCGATGGAGGTACAGCTTGAAAGCACGAAATTCATTTTGTGAAGGAGGACATTGCAAAGAAGGACGATGAGATTCTTCTAGTGAAATCTCATAACTTCTAGATTAATCAGAGGCTCCTAAATATTGTTGAAGATAAGGATGCTCCCTATATCGATTACATTTCTACTTTTCTTGATAAGAAACTTCAACCCCTTTTTTCCAAGCTGTCAATTACTACTGGTGTTCGACTAGTGGGGCTAGTTCGCAACATTGGGGAGAAGGGGTAAAAATGGTGAATCCTTATGTGGTTCCTCCGATGACAAAGAAGCCTAAAGCTGACAAGAAAGTGCATGGTGGTTTTTAACCACTAGATAAAAAGTCGAAGAATGTGGCTCCAGTTAAACCAACTGGTTCTGGTGCTTCGACAATTGTGAATCCATCAGAAGGAAATGTTGATGGAGATCAATATAAGTTTGATGAGGAATTAGAGAAGTTGAGGCAATTGGATATTGAGCTAAAGAAGAAGGTGGTTGAGGAAAGGGAGAAAGGGGTTGATCAACTCACTTTGAAAGCTTTATGGTCTGAATGGACTATGGAAAAGATGATTGACTTGGCTATTAAGAATTTTGAAAAATATTGGCTTAATTCGAGATCATCTTTTGTTCTTGATAACAAAAATGATTGTCAGCTAGAATTTCCAGTGACTTGGAAGGCATTCTTATAGAGTTTTCCAAATACTTATGGGGTTTCGATGTCAAATGGAAATATGAACCGAAAGATCTTTGAGTTTTACTCTTCGCAGTCAAGGCCTTAGTATGTAGTTTGGAGCTTAAAGAAAATTTCCGCTATTCGTGATTGTCAAGCTAAAGTGTGTTTGAATGATGAATTTGTCAATTACAATTTCAAGGTTGTTAGGGGAAATGACAATGAGGAATTTGATTTCTCACTTGCTGATCTACCGATCATGAACCCTCATGATTGGTTCATGTTATTTTCTATTTTTAACAGGGAAAAAAATATGTGAACCAGATCATTCATTTAAAGAAGCTGATCAAATTTTTATTTCATGTAGATTAGCAAGATGGATGTTGAGTTGTCTGAATTTCTGAAGAAGAAGAATTCTATCAATCCTTGTGATCAACCGGATGACATTCAAAATATGAATGATGGGCAGATCCAGAAGGAGACAAGAGGAGTTGTTTATAAAACTTTGGTGAATAGATTTTTGAAGAATAAAATGTTTTATCTACAATACAAGCATTGTTACAAGACTACTAAACTGAATGACTTTCTTTTGAAGGTTGAACTCTGCAGAATTAGTTCGAAGAATGAAATTAAATTTGTGTCCAACATGCTCAATGGTGGATTACCGTTCAGATAGTAATGCTTGGCTTCGCTCCTTAGGTTTTTTATGAGAGTACATGAAGACTTATTTTCACGACTCGACATAAAGGGAGATATTTTTAGGTCTCGAAGTTTGTATGTGTTGTGTCTGAGTCTGATTGTGAAAGCTTTCATAGTTGTATCTTAGTCTTCATTGTATAGTTCTGATAAATTTTTAGTTTCAGAATGTAAAGACTTAGGTTTCGGAGTGACATTTGATTAACTTTTATACAAACTGTAATTTCCTAGGTGCCATAACCTTCTTACTTTGTATTAAACAAAAAGAATATTTACTCCCTTTTTGTCAAACTATAAATAAGGATGTTAGTTAGAAGGTAAAGTAAGTATTTTGAGCATTCTTACATCTAATGTTGTAATTGAACCTTGTTACTCTATATTGAATCAGAAAGAAGATTATGGTTCTCTTTTGTCAACTTTACTTGCATTCATTCTTATATAATGATTATTTCAATCATATCAAACTAGTATATCAATCCTACAAAGAGGAATTGTCCCTCTTATCTTAAAAGAACTAGCCAAGCCTATAATTCAGGTATCTACTAGGTAGAACTTATACTTTTCATTTAACAGTCAAGTATTGGATGCTTAATGTTAATCTAACATTTTTAAATGGCTTACAGATATTCAAGACGAGTACGAAGATGAACACAAGCAAGTTGGAACTTCATTGGGGGAGTTTTTATTTATGCTTAGAACATAAAGTACTTGTATTGTAAAACAATATTTGGTTTGGAACAATGTATGTATTCCAAAGCAAATATGAATTCCAAAGCAAAACCCTAGAAACTAGTATATAATTCAAAATTTACACAATAATAAGGTTTAGATGTTTACCTTACTTGTTAGATCTTTGACTCTTAAAAGCAAGTGCCTCAAATGTGACACCTCTAATGGCTTACAAACACTCTTTGCAAGAGGATGAGAGGAGAGAGGAGGGATGCTCTTCGAAATTCGTCTAGGGTTTGGAGTAGGAAGAATTGGCCAAAAATCTGAAGGGTTAGATCCCTTTTTATACATGAGGTGACTTAGTCCCAAAGCTAAGGTTTGCAGGTGGAAACCCTAATTCCCTGCTTAAGGCCTAAGTAGCCCATGGACTCCTCATTAGAAGGCCTTGGATGAAAACTTATAGGGCCACCCTATAATTTTCGTCCACTCCTATCTAAGGAGTCCAAGAGCCCAGTTTCACAACTATCAATGATTTGCAAAACAACCCCTATACTTTTAATTAATTCATTTAATCCCAAAATTAATTCCAAATTAATTTCTGATTAAATATTAACCAAACAACATGATTTCCAATTAATATATTATTTTTATAACATATTAATAAATCATTTATATGAATTTATTATTCCAAACAATAAATTCAACTTCTCTCCAAAAGTCATCCTGTCAAGTTGCAAGAGTGAAGGCAACCCAAAAGGACCATGCTACTATCAAATCAAGCACATACCAATTATAGTTATGGGCTTAGGAACCTAATCCAACAAACATCACGATCAGATACAATGGAGACTGGAATACCATGCCGAGAAATGATCTCACGCACGTCCAAGTCGGCCAATTTCTCGGCCAATGAGCTCTCGCGGATAGCTAAGAAATTGGCACTCTTGGTCAACTGATCTACTATCACCCAAATTCCATCATTCCCCTTAACCACCCGAGGTAGCTTGGTAATGAAATCCATAGTGATATGTTCCCACTTCCAGATGGGAACCTCCGGTGGCTGCAACTTTCCATGAAGTCTCTGGTGTTCAGCCTTGACCATCCGACAGATCAAGCACCTCTCAACATACCATGTTATTTCCCTCTTCATGCACGACCAGCAGTAGCTAAGTATCACATCCCGGTACATCTTGGTGGCTCCAAGGTGTATCGAAAACCTGAACTTATGGGCCTCCTCCAGCACAGTCTGTCTAACCCTTCCAAAGTCTGACACCCAAACCCATCCATACCGGGTCAATAATCTGCGACTGTCAGTAACAAACCTGTCAATATCGCCTCTGAGTCTTTCCTTCTTCTAGTTTTCTCATTACCTGAGCCTCTCTGATGAAATCCAACCATGGTGAATCAATTGAAATCCTCATACACAGACCTCCAGTCATAGAACTAGTCGCCTTGCGGCTCAAAGCATCAGCCACCACATTGGCTTTCCCGGAATGATACAGGATCTCACAATCATAATCCTTGACCACATCAAGCCACCTACGTTGTCTCATGTTCAGATTCGGCTGATCCATAAGATATCGCAAACTCTTATGATACGTGTAGATAGTACAATGAACCTCATACAAGTAGTGCCGCCAAATCTTGAGAGCACACACTACTGCCCCAACTCCAGATCATGATTCATATAACGGACCTCATGCTACTTCAGCTGTCGTGAAGCATAAGCAATAACTCTCCTACATTGCATAAGCACTACGCCCATACCTGTGATAAATGCATCACAAAACACCACAAAATCCTCAACTCCCTCGCGGAGGGTCAACAATGGGGCCTCAGAGTCTCAAATGACAGTTATTACACAGGGACCTACCAGAAATCCATGTCCTTCCTCGTCAGACGAGTGAGGGGTACTACAATCTTGGAGAAATACTAAATAAATATCTGATAATATCCTGGTAAACCCAAGAAACTCCTGATCTTTAAGGGAGACTTCGGAACCTCCCACTGCATCACAGCCTCAATCTTCTCCGGATCAACCAAAATCTTGTTTTGGTTAGTTATATGTCCCAGGAAGTGGACCTCTC